GAGACTCATTGTAAAAATTCTTTCCCAATTTTCTACCTTCCTTCTAATCTTAGTTGCATTGGCTTTGTTTGTGCAAAAACTTTTCAATTTAATGTAATCAAATTTATCTATTTTGCTTTTCGTAATGGTCTCTATCTCCTGTTTGGTCATGAATTCTTCTGTTCTCCATAAATCTGATAGGTAAACTATTCCTTGCTCTCCCAGTTTGATTACAGTATCAGCCTTTATACCTAAATCATGAACCCATTTGACATTATTTTGGTACATGGTATGAGATTTTGATCTATGCCTAGTTTCTGCCATATTCTTTTCCAGTTTTCCCAGCAGTTTTTTTCAAACAGCGGGTTCTTATCCCAGAAGCTGGTGTCTTTGGGTTTATCAAATAATAGATTACTATAGTAATTGACTACTGTGTCTTGCATACTTAACCTATTCCACTAATCCACCACTCTGTTTCTTAGCCAGTACCAAGCAGTTTTGATGATTGCTGCTTTATAATACAATTTAAGATATGGAATGGCTAGGCCATCTTACCCTGCATTATTTTTCATTAGTTCCCTTGATATTCTGAACCTTTTGTCCTTCCAAATGAATCTTCTTATTATTTTTTCTAACTCTATAAAATAATTTTTGGTAGTTGGATTGGTATGGCACTGAATGAGTAAATTAGCTTAGATAGAATTGTCATTTTTATTGTATTAGTTTGGCCTACTAATGAACAACTGATTTTTTCCAATTAGTTATATCTGACTTTATTCGTGTGAAAAATGTTTTGTAATTGTGTTCACAGAGTTCCTGGATTTGTTTTGAGAGGTAGACTCCTAAATATTTTATAATATCTACAGTAAGTTTAATTGGAATTTCTCTTTCTATCCCTTGTTGTTGGGTTTTGTTGGTAATATATAGAAATGCTGATGATTTATGTGGGTTTATTTTATAGCCTGCAACTTTGCTAACGTTGTTTATTATTTCATGTAGATTTTTACTTGATTCTCTAGGATTCTCTAGGTATATCATCATGTCATGTGCAAAGAATGATAGCTTGGTTTCTTCTTTGCCTTCTCTAGTACCATCAATTTCTTTTACTTCTCCTACTGCAAAAGCTAATATTTTCAGTATGATATTGAACAGCAGTGGTGATAATGGACATCTTTTTTTCACCCCTGATCTTATTGGAAATGCTTCCAGTTTGTTGCCATTATATATGATGCTTGTTGAAGGTTTTAAGCAGATGCTATTTATTATTTTAAGGAAGACTCCATGTATTCCTATCTTCTCTAGTGTTTTTAATAGGAAAGGCTGTTGTATTTTGTCAAAAGCTTTTTCTGCATCTATTGAGATGATCATGTCGTTTCTGTTATTTTTGGTGTTGCAATGGTCAGTTATGCTGGTAGTTTTCCTAATACTGAACCAGCCCTGCATTCCTGGTATGAATCCTACCTGGTCATAGTGTATTATTCTTATGATAAGTTGCTGTAATCTATTTGCTAACATTTTATTTTAAAATTTTGCATCTATATTCATTAGAGAAATTGGTCTATAATTTTATTTCTCTGTTTTGACTCTTCTTGGTTTAGGTATCAGCACATATTTGTATCATAAAAAGAATTTGGTAAGACTCCTTCTTCACCTATTTTCCCAATTAATTGTTATTTAAATGTTTGATAGAATTCACATGTAAATCCATCTGGCCCTGGAGATTTTTTCCTAGGGAGTCGATCAATGGCTTGTTCAATTTCTTTTAGTATTTTACTTCCACTTCTGTTAATCTGGGAAATTTATATTTTTGTAACTATGTATCCATTTCACTAAGATTGTCAAATTTATTGGCATATAGTTGGGCAAAATAATTCCTAATTTTTGCTTTAATTTCCTCTTCCTTGGTGGTAGATTCACCCTTTTCATTCTTGAAATTAGTAATTTGGTTTTCTTCTTTCTTTTTTTTAATTAAATTAGCCAAAAGTTTCTTTATTTTATTGGTTTTTTCATAAAACCAGCTCTTAGTTTTATTTATTAGTTCAATAGTTTTCTTAATTTCAATTTTTAATTTTTCCTTTGGTTTTCAATATTTCTAATTTTGTTTAGTTGAGGATTTTTAATTTGTTCTTTTTCTAGTTTTTTTAGTTGTATGCCCAATTCATTATCTCCTCTTTTCTATTTTATTTATGTAAGCATTTAGAGATATAAAACTTCCCCTAAGAACTGCTTATGTTGTCTCATTATTGTCATTCTCTTGAATGAATTTTATTTATTGTCTATGATTTGTTGTTTGACCCAATCATTTTTTAGGATTAGATTATTTAGTTTCCAATTATTTTTTAGTCTATCTTTCCATGGCCCTTTATTACATATAATTTTTATTGCATGATCTGAAAAGGATGCATTTAATATTTCTGCCTTTCTGCATGGATTGTGAGGTTTTTATGTCCTAGTACATGGTCAATTTTTGTGTATTGCCATGTACTGCTGAGAAAAAAGTATATTCCTTTCTATCCCCATTCAGTTTTCTCCAGAGGTCTATCATACCTAACTTTTCTAATGTTCTATTCACCTCCTTAACTTCTTTCTTGTTTATTTTGTGGTTAGATTTATAGTAGAGAGGGGGAGGTTGGGTCCCCACTAGTATAGTTTTGCTGTCTATTTCTTCCTGTAACTCCCTGAACTTCTCCTCTAAGAATTGGATGCTATACCATTTGGTGCATATATGTTTTAATGATATTACTTCATTGTCTATGTGGTGCCTTTTAGCAGGATGTAGTTTCCTTCCTTATCTCTTTTGATTAGATCTATTTTTGCTTTTGCTTTGTCTGAGATCAGGATTGCTACCCCTGCTTTTTTTACTTCAGCTGAAGCATAATATATTCTGCTCCAGCCTTTTACCTTTGCCCTGTATGTGTCACTCTTTTTCAAATGTGTTTCCTGTAAACAACATATTGTAGGATTATGTTTTTAATCCATTCTGCTACCATTTCTGTTTTATGGGAGAGTTCATCCCATTCACATTCACAGTTATGATTACTACTGTGTCTTTTCTCTCCATCCTTCCCCCCATTTATGCTTTTCTTTCTCCTTTTCCTTTTCCCCTCTAGTTTTGCTTTTGACCACCACTCTCCTTCAGTCCCTCCTCCCTTTTCTATTATCCTTTTTTTCTTCCCCTTTATCTTACTGCTTTCTTCCCTCTTCTTCCCCCTCTCCTTTTCTTTCCCCTTTTCCCTCCTACTGCCTATAGGGCAAGTTAGATTTCTATACCTAACTGATTGTATTATCCCTTCTTGAGCCAAATCTGATGAGAGTAAGGTTCAAACAATGCTCACCCCTCCCTTCTTTCCCTCTGCTGTAATAGGATTTTTGTCTTTTCCTGTAATGTAATTTACCCTTGTCTGCCTCTCCTTTCTCAGTACATTTTCTAAGATCAGATATCCACTTATTGGATCCATTTAACCCACTTGATTAGATTTTTTTTATCATTATATCAAAGTCAACTTATATCCACCCCTTTATGTATACTCCTTTAACATGGTATAATAACAAAACAGTTTTCAAGAGTTACAAATATCATCTTGCCTTGTAGGGATGTAGACAGTTTGCCCTTATTAACAACATATTATATCTTTCTGTCCCATTTACCTTTTTATGCCTCTTTTGAGTCTTGTACTTGAAGATCAAATTTTCTGCTGAGCTTTGGTCTTTTTACCAGGAAAGTTTGGAAGTCCCCCTATTTTGTTGAATATCCATCTCCTCCCCTGAAAGATCATGCTCATTTTTGCTGGGTAGTTGATCCTTGGTTGTAATCCAAGCACCTTTGCCTTATGGAATATTATGTTTCACACCCTACTGTCTTTTAATGTAGAAGCTGCAAAGTCCTGTGTAATCTTGACTGTGATTCCATCATATTCAAATTGTTTCTTTCTGGCTATTTGAAGTATTTTCTCTTTGACCTGGTAATTTTGGAATGTGGCTACTATGTTTCTTGGCGTTTTCAATTTGGGACCTCTTTCAGGAGGTGATCAGTGGATTCTTTCTATGGCTATTTTACCCTCTGTTTCTAGGACCTCAGGGCAGTTTTCCTTTATGATTTCCTGAAAGATACTGTGTCAGGTAGACCAATAATTTTTAAATTGTCTCTCTTGGATTAATTTTCCAGTTGTTTTACCAATAAGGTATTTTATGTTTTCATCCATTTTTTCATTTTTCTATTTCTGTTTTGCTGATGCTTGCTCTCTCATAGAGTCATTAACTTCCATTTGCCCAATTCTAATTTTTAACAAATTGTTTTTTTCTATTAGATTTTGTACCTCTTTCCCCAGTTGGTCAATTGTATTTTTTAGGGACTTGTTTTCTTCAGTGTACTTTTTTCCAGTTGACCAATTGTATTTTTAAGGATTCTTTTAAAATTTGAAAATCCATCTTGAGTTCTTCTAAGAAGGCTTTTTGGGCTTCAGACCAGTTCATATTCCTTTTTGAGGTTCCAGATATGGGTCTGTTGACAATATTGTCCTCTTCAGAATTTCTGCCTAGATCTTCACTGTTCTCACAATATGAATCTATGGTATGTTTCTTTTTTGCTCATGGTATTTGATTTTTTTCCTGGCCTTTAAAGATATTGAGCTCTCCTGCTGAGGAGTAGAGGTCACTGACCCAAGCTTCTTGTGTTAGGAGCCTAGGTCTTGATCACTGGCTTTGTGTGCTGGGGCCTTCGATGTTGGCAATTGGAGGCTGTAGGGTTCTGGCAGCTTACCCTGTGTTGGGCTGGACTCAGCAACACTGGAACTCTAGGGGTAGGATTGGATAGTCTGGCCCCTGGATGTTGCCTGCTTTTCCTTTCCTTTTGCTTTCTTCAGCTCCTTTCAGATGGATTTTGCAGGATGTTTATCATCCTGGGGCCCCTTGGAGTGCTTCACAGAGTCTTGCTGAGGCACTGAGAGACTGCTGTAGAATGCCAAGGCATTCTACAAGGCTGGTTTCCAACGGTTCTCCTGCCCTCACGAGGCCTTTGGGCATCCAGGTGTTGAAGTTTGCTTGCTCCACCACCTGGATTTCAGGATCTCCCCCTGGTGCTAAAGTGGAGCTTTCCACTAGCTTGCTGGAATGTCTCCCATTCAGTACTGTGCCCCTTCCCCCAGGGCGAGAGGCACCTTTCCCATTAATCCCTCAAGCTACCTGGGCTACTGGGCTGCTGGACTCTATCTTTCTTGTGGTTCAGCTTTCCAGGGATTTTCCAGCAGTGATATTTTCTGGGCTTTCAGAGATTGATATGAGAGGGTGAGAATGCCTTCCTTTTTACTCCACCATCTTGGCTCCTAGAAGTGGAATTCTCTCCCCTATTCTCCTTATGTCCACTCTCATTCAATTTTCCTGAGTGCCTAGGCCCTACTCCAGATCCCCTAAACATCCTTGTTTAGCTCAGAAGTTCTACTTTTGCCTTATCTGCTGAGGCAAGGATTCTACCTTAGGGCTCTTGACTTCAGCCCTTCTCACAAGGGACTAATCTCTGAAAGCTCTCTTCAGTTTCCTTGTTGTCAGGCTCCCTTTTCTATTATAATAACCAAGTCTTCCTTATCTCACTCATCAATATCATAGCAGTAAAAATCATAAAGTAAATCTAAACTGTTTTCATTGGAGGTAATTTGATGGCCAGTATTATAGTACTTTCACTCTCTGTTTTGCCCATGATAGCCAAAATCTGTTTCCTAATGATTTTAGCAAATCCTTTACCCCTATCTTTAAAATCTTCTGTCCATTTCCTGGACATAACTGAAGCATCCACATTGGCAGGAAAGAAAGTATTGGGCTCATTAAACATCAAAGTTACATTCAATAAGAGAGTCCTCATATTTTGAGTCATATGTCACCTCTCCAGAAACAATTCTCCACTCTTTGGGTCATCTAAAGGAAGATGAAAAATCAAAATGACCATGTTTCCATTCTCAGAAATGTTGGGCTGCCACTTTTTAAATGGGAATATGAAGATAGGTCATAAATATGATTAGTCAATAGGAAATTTAATATGAGGTTTGAAATAGTGACCTCAGGAAGATGTGTGGCTACTTCCTATTTGTAAAGGTTGTCTGTGTACATAAGAGTAATCCACTGATTTCTCTTGCAGGGATTTAAACTCTCTTGTCATCTACTGCTGGGCCATAGCTGCAGAAGCAGCACTGAGGAGAGTTATGGCCAGCTACCTCAATCTTCCCATTATCCTCAAATTCCTTGCCAGCATTTATAAGTCTTTGGAAAGCTGCAGGCTGGAGTGGAGAAAGGGGAAGCTTCCCCACAGGTGGGTAATGGGGATACACTCATGACCTCACTTAATTTCTAGGGATGAAAAAAGAGAGGATCTCTTAAGAAAAAAATGGAAGAGATGCAAAGAAAGAAGAATAAGAGAAAGGTAGGAATAGGAGGAGTAGGGAGGAGGCAGAGCCTAGTGCCACCTCACTCTCTTTCACATACATTTTCTCTGCCTCTTACTGGAGAATCAACCAGTCTAAAGACATTTATCAGGGCAGCTAGGTGGTGTAGCAGATAAGAGTTCTGGGCCTGAAGTCAAGAAGACTCCTCTTCCTTAATTCAGATCTGACCTCAGACACTTACAAGCTGTGTGACCCTGGGCAAGTTATTTAACCCTGTTTGCCTTAGTTCTTCATCTGTAAAATGGACCTCTCCTGCTCTCCACTGTCTTTCGCTGAACTTACCTCCTACATTTTCAATCAAGTTGTATATAATATGGGCTAGCTATATGAGGCAATGAATAAGAGCAACTGGCCTAGAGTAAAGAAGGTCTGAGTTCAAATCTGGCCTTATTTACTTACTAGCTGTGTGACCGTAGGTAAGTCCCTTAAGCTCTGTTTGCCTCAGCTGTAAAATGGGAATAATAGCATCTACCTCACATGGTTATTGTGAGGCCCACAGTAGGTGCTACATAAATGTTTAAAATACCTGCAACACAAACAAAATTTTAATTTCTTTTTTTGTCCCATCTTTCCTTTCTCCTAAAAACAAGAAAACAACAACAACCACAATCTTCAGTGGGAAAGGAGAGAAAGTAGTGTTTAATCATGGAAAGAGAGTTGAGATCTGACCCTCTAGAGGACATAAGTAGCTTGAGACATGAAAATTATTTCTAACTTTCACTTTGCTTTAGAGAAAAAAGAAGGAAGAAACTGAACAGTGAAACTAGAAGGGCATTAAACTTGAAAATGTGGGGGCAGAGCTAAACTTGCAGAGTAGAATAAGCACTTAGTGGAATTTTTCCAACCTTCCCCTCCAAACAACTTTAAAATAACACCTCAAATCAAAATCTGGAGTAGCAAAGCCAAAACAAAAAATCATGGTAAGATATTCTTCCAATCAAAGACAACTTAGGAGGTGAGAAGGAGAGATCTGTGACAAAGGTGGAAGCCCAGAGTCTACATGAATGAAACAACAGTGGTAAGACTAGGTGATGGTAACAGAAGTAGCAACAACTTTAGGAGCTCTCAAGCTAAAGGTGGGAAGGGGATCTGGCAATTGGTCAGAAAAAGAATAGAAGATATCTCTGTGCTGGCACTGGATGCAGAACTGGAAGCTACTTGGTAACTTCATTGCCTATACCCACTTCTGGGTAACAGTTCAAGGGCAGAGAGGAGTGTTTTCATTCAAGAGGGAGCAGGGGCCCTGAGAAGCAGTATTACTTCCAGTCTCTAGGGTGTAGGGACCCTAAGGAGAAGTATTGATTGTAATCTCAAGAGATTGGGGGCCCTTATTGGGTAAGGACAAGAGCTCAGACCATGATACAGATATTGTTTCAAGTATAGCACCAAGGGTGTAGATTTTGTGAATACAACAGTAATGAAAAATTGTAATAGGACCTTGGGGGATTCAGTAAAGCATCACACACAAAATATATCTATGTACAGTAATTCTATATTGTAATATCAAGTTTGAGAAAAATAGAAAATAAAGCTAATTCAAAATTAACTACAACATGAATAAAACTTATGAGTCAATAAAATAAGTCACACTAAAATCTTATGTAAATAAAATTTCAAGTATTCTGCAAAGAAATAATAACAAAAATGAGGATATCCTTTGCCTATGGTTAGGATGTACCAATATTATAAATGTGCCTAAAATGATATACAGATTTCATGCTGTACCAATCAAATTACCCAAAAGGCACCTTATTGAGCCAGGCAAAACAATTACAAAATTCACTTGGAAAAACAAAAAGATTGGAATCCAAAGGGAAGTAATGAAAAAGTAATAAGAATCAAGGGAGAATAGCAATGTCAGATTCCACATTAAAAATAAAGCAATAATTATCAAAATTATTTCATAATTTTTTTAAAAAGGATATCAATGATTCAGACTAGATAAACAAGCACTAGATATTCTGTCCCTAGCACTCCATCTACTATGTTGCCTAGCTGCCTCATTATCTATAATATTCAATTAAACATCTGCCATATGAAGTTTGCTGACTTTCCTCTTGATGTTTTAGCATTTAAAGCAAAATGGATGTAGTTCAGTTCTTCCAGTAGTTATCAGGGATAAAGATAAGAAGTTATGTCATATCTGCCCTCAGGGAGTTTGTAATCTTATAGGGGTATAAGACATATACGAATAGTTATTTTAAAATATCATAAATACTTAGAAGTCAGGAATGGGTTTGGAATGGAGGGTCATTTCTAGCTCCCTCCAATCAGGGAAGCCTTCAGGGGTGAGGTGACGAAACAGCTATGTTTAGAACTCCTGCCCTCATACTAGGGTACTTGGATATACACACTGATGTTACCTCAAGTACTCTTAATTCCCCAGGTGTTCCAATCTATCCAGCTGTTATGGCCCATTTCTTCACTCTGCCTCAGTTACACACAAAGATTGCCACACACTTATCCTTGCTATTGTCTATCAGGGTCCATCATCAAGAAGTCTGTAATACAGTAATCATTCCAATTCAGTTTTATTCCTCCTAAACCTACTCTTCATAAACTACATGACACGCAATCCCTTCACCCCTCAGTACTTTCCCAGGTCAGGAATGTCATGAAGCAAATGAGATAATGGATATAAAGCAGCCTGGTAAGCGTAAAGTGCTATTATATAAGTACTTCCTGTTGCTGTCATTGTTGTGATGGTGGTGGTGATTGTGGTTGTGGTTCTTGCTGTTGTTGTTGTTCTTGTTGTTAACCTACAGTTACCAGGTCTTCAATTTGTTGATGACTTCATTCCCGGAGCTTTCTACTGTCTTGCTGCTGAGTTCAAGCAAAGTTTTTTAGAGCAAAACAAGAGCGTACTGGTAAATATTTTAATTGGGCTCTCAGGGGAAATAAAAATGTATGCACACATATTTTTAAGTTGAATTTACATTATCAACACTTTCTCAAGCTAAGACAAAATGTAATAAATTAAGACCTGATTTGTAATGATTGCTGATTTAGGAAGTATAGGTGCTTAAACTGAAAATTTGGCAATTAGTTCTCTTAATCTTAGAGCTGGCTCTAGGAGAACCCTGTTCCTAGCCATCACCCCTGCTCTGACTAAACTTTCCTTCTTTCCCAAACTCAACCATTTAGTAAAACAATTCAACCCTACACTATTCTTAAGCCTTGAATCTTTTACATATTTAGGTAACTGGGTGGAACAGTGGATAGAAGACTGGATTTAGAGTCAAGATAGACCTAAATTGAAATCCTTCCTTAGACATTAACTAGCTCTGTGGCCCTGGGCAAGTCACATAACCTCTCCTAACCTCACTTTCCTTATATGTTAAAATGGAGATAGTGATAATATTTACCTCATAGGGTTACTATGAGGATTATATGAGATATATGTATGTAAATATGGAAAGCATTATTATTGTTGTTTCTTTATCTTATCAAGGTACAGGCTTTGCCAAACCCCGTCAGTTGCTTTCTCTATGCCTATTCTCATGCTGAATGCCTGTTCTCATCTCATGAATGTTGACAGAAATATTAAAACCCTTCTGACCAGGCCCACTACACATGCATGGTGTTTAATCTTACCCAGGCCCTCACTGCAGTATATCAATCATTTTAATCCTCCCTTCTCTGTGGTTTTGTAACTGCTTTCTTCATCCCTTTCTACCTGTCTGATCAATCATTCCCAGTCTTCTTATCCATGTCACCTCTTTCTCAAACTTCCTATTACTATGGAGGACTCAATATCTTTTTAGTTACCAAGATTTTTAATCATAATATCATTCTAAACTCACTCTTACTCACTCCACATGATGGTTGTTGTTGTTATTTATCTCTGCGAGATCTCTCTCATCCTTTCCTGTATCCATTCACACAGTTGCCATCCTAGTCTAGGACCTTATGGGCTCTTAAATCAGTTATTGAAATATCCTCTCATTTTTGTCCCTCTACTGTGCCTGCTCTCATCCTCCAACTTTGTTCATCTCTGATCATGTCAACCCCACCCTCCACAGACACATACTAAGTATAAGTGGCCCCCTATTACCTCTGAAATTCAACTCTTTTTTTCCCCATTATATAAGACTCCTGTCTCTACCTTTCTCATATTCTTACAGATCCTCCATGAACTCAATAGCACAATCATATTGTCCCACTTTCTGTTCCTTGCAGGTGATAACGCACGATCATGACTTTTGCATTGGTTGTCCATGTCTAGAATTCTTTCCCTCTCTGTCTGCTCTTAGAATACCCAGTTTTCTTCAAAACACAATTCAAGTACCTTCTCCATGAAGCCTTTTCTGATAATTCAGGCTTCCAGTGCTCTCCCTCCATCCCCAAACTACCTTCTATTCACCATATAATATATATGTGTGTGCATATATAATACATACATAATACATATATACACATACATAAATGAATGTGCACATAATATATGTATATGATGTATGTTTTTTCTCCTTCATTTGTAGGTAAACTCCTTAAAGGCAGGAACTTTTACACCAGAAGAATTTCTGTCACCAGCATGAGCACGAGTTCTGGAACATAGAAGATACTCCATAAATGCCTGTTGATTGATTAGTTGATTATTAAATAATTACACCAATGATATCATGGATCAGTCAAGCATAAATAGAATTGGCATTTCCTTGCTTTTACAATACTATATGGAATTCTTGTTACCCGCTGTTATTTCAGCATACTCTCAAATTTCCCCCCCCCCACCATTGCCTAGGGAGACTGGTTAGCTTTCTAGCCCTCTGGCTATAGTGGGCAGCTCTGATGTTGAAGTTTCAGACCACATAAAGAGTAAGATGTTTGCGGGAGATCTTGGGGTGTTAGCCAAGTCACTTCTATTTATTTTCTAGGAGCCTTTCAAACATTCTGCTTGTCAGTAATATAAATAATCATCAGCTTTAAAATTTGAGTGTCAACAGCATTGTTCTCATCGATAACAAAATTTAAGCAATGGGTAAGAGGAGTTATTTTCTCCCAAATACAGTATTGAATGAGTTCTCTAAATGACATGATAAAAATGCATTTTATTAGGTACATGTGTGGCAACCCACAACTCCTGCTTTCAATAATATTTGAGTCTTTTACTTGAAAGAATTTTTCAAAAGCAAACTTTTAAAAATGCTATGCCAGGCCTGCTGAAAGGAAAATTTCATAACTCATCATGGCCACAAGCATGGTGAAAGATAAGATCAAGGGGCAGAGCCAAGATGGCACAATAAAGGCAGGAACTTGCCTGAGATCTCCCCCAAGTCCCTCCAAATACCTGTAAAAAATGACTCTAAACAAATTTTAGAGCAGCAGAGCCCCAAAAAGACAGAGTGAAACAAATTTCCAGCCCAAGACAACCTAGAAGGTCAAAAGGAAAGGTCTGTTGCACCAGGCTGAAAGAGAAACACAGTTCAGCACGGGCCACACTAGCACAGCCCTGGCCCAGCAAACCAGGAGCAAGCCTTGGGAGTGATGGCATCAGCAGTGGCAGGAGCTGCTTCTTGAGCTGTCCACCCTTAGATAGTAATATGATCAAAGAACTGGTCAGATGGACATTACAGGGATCTCTTTGCTAGGACTGAGGTAGAACTCTATTGCTTTGGCCATACTTGGATGTGGGTCACAGTCCTGGGTGGCAGTCCTGGAGTGAGGAGGAGTATTGGCATAGCAGAGCTTGTGGCAGCAGTAGAGAAGAATCCCTCTTCATAGTTCCAGGGCAGAGAAGAGTGCTTATTGTTACTCACAGACCAGAGCACAGGTCAGGAGAAAAGTAAACACTTCTCCTTAGATCATACCCCTTGGAAGAACTAAGAACTTACAGATCCCTAGAAGCATCGCTGAACATAGCTGCACAAACCCCCCGAAGCTCGGGACAGTACATGCTCCATGTTGGAAGTTGAGCCCTACCTTAACAAAGAGTTAAAAAGTCAAGTAATTGGCTGGGGAAAATGAGCAAACAATGGGAAAAAACTCAGACTGTAGAAACTTACTTTGGTGACAAGGAAGATCAAAACATACAACCACAAGAAGAGAACAAAGTCAAAGCACCTACATCCAAAGCCTCCAAGGAAAAAATGAATTGGTCTTAGTCCATGGAAGAGCTCCAAAAGGATTTTGCAAAGCAATTAAGAGAAATAGACAAAAATTGGGAAGAGAAATGAGATCAATGCAAGAAAATCATGAAAAACAAATCATCAGCTTGCTAAAGGAAACCCAAAAAATACTGAAGAAAATAATACCTTAAAAATAGACTAGACCAAATGGCAAAAGAGATCCAAAAGGCCAATGAGGAGAAAAATACCCTAAGAAACAGAGTTGGCCAAATAGAAAAGGAGGTCCAAAAACTCACTGAAGAAAATACTACCTTAAAAATAAGAATGGAGCAAATGGAAGCTAATGACTCTATGAGAAACCAAGAAATTATAAAACAAAACCAAAAGAATGAAAAATAAGAGAAAATGTGAAATATCTCATTGGGGGAAAAAAACTGACCTGGATGACCTATCCAGGAGAGATAATTTAAAAATTATTAGACCACCTGAAAATCATGATCAAGAAAATAGCCTAGACAGCATCTTTCAAGAAGTTATCAAGGAAAACTGCCCTGATTTTCCAGAAACAGAGGGTAAAATAGAAATGGAAAGAGTCCACCAATCACCTCCTGAAAGAGATCCCGAAAGGAAAACTCCCAGGAATATTATAGCCAAATGCCAGAGTTCCCAGGTCAAGGAGAAAATATTGCAAGCATCCAGGAAGAAATAATTCGTGTATCGTGGAACCACAATCAGGATAGCACGAGATTTAGTAGCTTCCACATTAAGGGATCAGAGGGCTTGGAATATGATATTCAGGAGTTCAAAGGAACTAGGATTAAAGCCAAGAATCAAAAATCACCTACCTAGCAAAACTAAGTGTAATCCATAAGGGGAAAAAAGAGTTGATATTCAATGAGATAGAGGAATTTCATGCGTTCTTGAGAAAAAACCAGAGTTAAATAGAAAATTTGACTTTCAAATACAATACTCAAAAGAAGCATAAAAAGGGAACAGGAAAGATAAATCATAAGGGACTTATTAAACTGTTTACATTCTTACATGAACAGATGATATTTGTAACTCATAAGACCTTTCTCATCATTAGGGCAGCTAGAAGGAATATATATGGATAGAGGGTATAGGTGTGAGTTGAATATGAAGGAATGATATCTAAAAAATAAAATTAAGGGGTGAGAGAGGAATGTACTAAGAGAAAGAGAAAGGGAGAGGTAAAATGGGGTAAATTATCTCACATAAAAGAGTCAAGAAAAACTTTTACAGTAGAGTGGAAACGGGGAAAGGTGAGAGGGAATGAGTGAAGCTTACCGTCAAGAGAATTGGCTTGGAGAGGGAATAACATACACACTCAATTGGGTATAGAAGTGATCTTATCTAGGTAGGGGGAAGGAGATAAGAGAAGGGCGGTGATAGAAGGGAGAGCAGATAGGGGAGGGGGTAATGAGAAACAAACACTTTTGAGGAGGGGCAGGGTGAAAGGAGAAAACAGAATAAATGGGGGGCAGGGTAGGATGGAGGGAAATATAGTTAGTCTTTCACGTCGTGACTTTTATGAAAGTGTTTTGCATAACTACACATGTGTAACCTATATCAAATTGCTTGCCTTCTAAATGAGTGGTAGTGGGGAGGGAGGAAGGAAGAGAATTTGGAACTCTAAGTTTTAAAAATGAAAGTTAAAAATTGTTTTTTTCACATGTAACTGAGGAAAAATAGAATACCAAACAAAACAAACAAAAAAGATAAGATCAGAAAGCCCAGATTGCTTCAAACCATTCCGCTATTAAGCATAATGTTTTATCAGATATTTAAGTTCATTCTTGTTCATTGTGGGTGGCAGAACAGTTGAACTTCATTGAGGTGTTAAAAGTTGATGCATATTGATTCCCAGATAGCCTGAAAATAGCAGATTAGCCATGGTGACAGATGAATTTAAGGATGCTTGATCACTAGAAAGTCAATCTAAGGATAAGAAAATTGATTTTCTTTAACTTTTTCCCTCAGAAGCTAACAAAAACACAATTATTAGGTGTTCTGATATTTTTTTAATTAACATTTTTATTCTGGTATTCTGTTTCAGGAGCACAAATCAAAAGCCTTGCTGTGCCCTCCATCTAGATATGTTTCTTCATAGCTTTTCTATTGTCCTTACTCCGTAAGGCCATTTATCATGTGTATTGGAAGGGAAGGTCCACAAGATGGTGATCCACAAGACCTATAACTATGAACAGACTTTCATACACCATGAAGATGAAAAAGTGGAAGAAAATTCAAAGTAAATAGCATATTGAACAGGATTATTTGGGAAGGCAGTGTGGAACAATGGGTATGATGTCAGAGGACATGGGTTCAATCCTGACTTTGCAATATACTACCTGTATGACCTTGAGTAAATCATAAATTTCTCTGAACCCTATTTTCCTCTCTTGTAAAATGAAGAGATTGTAGCAGATAGCCACTAACGTGCCTTACAGCCCCAAGTCTATGATCCTACTATAACATGAGGTGGTGCTCTCTGGCAAGATTGGCTATAAAAGGAATTGATGTAAGAATTAAGATTCCACTGACCCCCTACCGTGGGCAGGCCAAATTTTTTCCCAGTTCCTTTCAGTATGACCCTGTGCATGGCCATAACTTCCATGTTGCTCCAAGCCTCTACTCCACCCGCCCCCCAACTCTGGAGTGATTCAAAGTCTTTGAATTGACTAGGAGAAGACAATAAAGGAAATAGACTTTGCCAGAGCTGATCTCAGCTCATGTTTGTTTCAGCTCCACTTGCCTTCTCAGGAGTTTGAAAAGGTAGAATGCTGAGCATGGAAAAGCTTTAGATCAAAGCATCTGTTAGTGTGTCACTATTTCCCTGTCACACTATGGACAACAATTCTGTTCTCTAAATTGAAAACAAATGTTGGGCCTGGTTGCCTAAGTTTAGTACCCTGTAGTCTCTCACCCCCAATCCTGGCGTTCATTGTCACGATCACAAACCCAGAGATTTCATCTATTCCAACTCATGCAACTTTAGTTCCTAGAGTCCCAGTAACACTTGGGTTATATTATAATTGTATGATCCATCTTCACATTCTCTTATATTCACCTTTTGCTATCATCTAGAAATGCACACTCAGTGCATTTTTCATAAAACTCGTTGAAGGAACTATTTTCCTTTGAGAAGTGGTAGGTTCCTTATAATTGGAGGTCTTTAAGTAAAGGCTAGACATAATATAGAGGGGAATAGTATTCAGGTGTACAATAGACTAGATAACCTTTTGATAGTTCCAATATTCTCTGACTCCTTCAAAATTCTAGAATTTTCTTTCCCCCCTTAAGAGTATTTTATTTTTTCCAATTACATGTAAAGATAGTTTTCAACATTCATTTTTGTAAAATTTTGAGTTCCAAATTTTCCTCTCTCCCTCTCTTCCCTCCCTCCTCACTAAGACAGCAAGCAATCTGATATGTTATATATGTACAATCATGTTAA